TATATTACCCTCGAAGTTCAGAGAGTTAATTATGCATCTATATTGTATATTAGTTGTAAATGTTGGCTTCAGTGACCCGACAAATGAAAAGTTCTTGATGCGCCAAAAAAACCTTGCTAGGAAAGTAGAATTTGAAATCTTTCAGTCGCACATGAGTAAGAAACATTCAACTCTTCTGACTCTCTTTTTCCCGCCAAAATTTTCACATGCCCCTACGTGAGACGTAGCCGTGCGTAACAGCTGTTATCACGTTCCTCGGATCGTTCTTGGCCGGGGAACAGACCGGCAAAATTTAAGCACCAATGCTTGTGGGGTTGGCGGGTAGAAATACCCGGATAGGCGAACAAACACGAACTCGAATATGCGCACACGAACATACATACACACAGAAAGGATCGTCGCAATATGTGTTTTTGCTGCTTGCTGCAACGCTCTAACCAAAAACGCTTAAAAAGGCTCATCCAATAACTTTATGTAAACCTCGGAAAAAACATGAATAAAGAAGAACTTGCCGGTGATCATTCTCAAAATAAGTGATCGTCATGAGAATTGCACCATAAGCCATAGCTGGTATAATCATTATTGGCACATAAATTGTTTCGCTGTTTCTAGCATAGCTATAACTTTTTTTAATAAGTAATTACGAATAGACGGTACACGGTTTCAATTCAAATACTAGATAAGGATGTAACCAAAGCTGTCTTACTATTTGGACCGTTGCAGCTGTGAATTTCATTCGAAGGTGAAAGTGCTGGAAACGGAGAGATTTCAGGATAATTAAGACTAAGCAGCATAGTGCATCAGCACTTCCGTTGTGATCATGCACTTTTCAGTCTCAAATTTTTTGTATCCCAATACGAGAAGCTAGCATGTGTGAAAGTTGCGCTGCAACAATGGTGTGACCCTACCTGTATGTGTGTTTCTGGTGCGTGTGTATGTGTTGATGGGTGTGCGTGTTTTCACAGTTTTGCCCTGCGTTTTCATATTCCAGCAAGTAAAGCCAAAATTTAACTTTCTATCCATTTGTGGAGTCGTTAGTTTAAATTCAAGTTTTGCTAAGGCCTAGGTCTGATGTGCAACAAAGTTTTGACTCAAATTCGTGACCGCAGGATCTATATAAAACAGCTATAGTTTCAGGAGAGTGTTTCCTGTCTATATGCCACTTTGGAATTTAAAATTCTATACAACCGCTGAAATTCAAAATCAGCTTCCACGTGGCACTCGAGGCCTCATGTGCGGATGTGTAAAATCATTTGTGGCAATTTTTCTAACTCAGAATCAGTCAAGACAATTTTGAGATCTGTTCTGCTCCTGGAATTTAAATTTATCTTCCATGTATGCAGCCTTCACATGCACATATATATCTCTGCACATGTGCCAGTTTTTCACTTTTCACATGAAATCCCAGGTGAGGAGTTTTGACATTTTTCTAGTTGTGCTGCCTGAAAATGCGCAAAACGCGTAACCACACTGTAATCACGGCCGCACCGTGTTATCTCACCCTCTTCATTATCTTGTCAGCATTGCGGAAGTATCTGCGAATGACCACGTTTTTAGTAACCGTAGATGACTCTTTTTGAACGCAAAGCTGCATTACTTCTACTTACATTAGAGGATACAGAACTGCGAACAGTCGATCGATGCCAATGCATAAATTGAGGAAATTGCCGACATTCATGAAAAAATTAGGGATCACTTGTAAGTAAAAACAGTGTTCCCAGGTGACGAAGTATTTCCCGCGATAAGCGCGGTAAGCTGCAACAATATGTCCAGACTGAAAAAGAATCTCGCAAAATGCCTCAATTGCAATCATAACATTGCACGAGCCGTGTAATTTCCTGAAAACAGCAGAAGAGTAAAGGTCATTTGAAAGAGGTGCATTTTTGCCAAATTTTATGAAATTAGAGTGGATCTTAATTAATATTATGAAGGATATGAGAAAGGAATTACCCGAAAGAACTAGCTAACACAGCAATCTTACTTTGAAAATTAAATTTCTATTAATCTTCTGAAACAGTGGAGCTCTATCACATCTCCTTTCCGGCGACGTATCATTAACATCCTAACTTGATAAATTACTACAAAAAATAAAAAAGCCCAGTCGAAGTTAAAAATCCATTCCGCAGTGGTTGCCTAAGAAAAGTAGAAGCATGCGGAATATAGCCGAAACGGTAGCAAATACCAAAGTAACCGTCTGCTAGCAAAGATTTTGATGACTTATTGTTTCGCGGGCTGCTCACAAGCAGTCTGGTGATTGGAATGATTCTCTGGCATATGCCTTTACCAATTTACTATCAAAACGAATAAGTAAATCGTAGAGGGGTTAATTTTCCACTGACAAAGTCGAAGCCTTGACCTTCAGTATTACTTCCTCGTGCTATACTAACCAGCAATATCCTACGAAAAATGCGGTTTTCTGTGAACAGTGTTATATAGGGAAAGGCAGGCGAGAGAGAAATTAGTTTCTTTTTTCCCAATGTTAAATTTGTCTGTGAAGGGCAGTTAAAATTCAAATTCCACCCAGTACTTCACTCTTTAGGAGAGAAGTATTCGTTTGAAAATGGATCGAGCGAAGCACATTTAGGCACCGGTCTTTTTTCGGCAAGACTACAGGTGGTTTTCCTTTCCGAAAGTTACATCCGAAAAAATTTAGATGGCGTTTTCTCGGACGTTTTCTTGGACGTACACGTTACCAATTTACAATTGAAATGAATGAAAGAGAGTGACTACTTTTTGCGCCGACAAAGCTTGTTACAATATTTTTCAATAAATTTGCGAGGTGCACCTACTTCGAAAGGATAGTTGCGACGACGATGCAACCATTACCAAACCATCCAACTGCTGTTATAACCAAATATGCTGTTGCCATCCCTACTATTATAAATTGCTGCATTGTCAGCTTTGCAACTAAACTGATAAATTCACTTGAGAAATCGCATTTCTTAGTAATTAAAACGCTATGAAAGAAATTTGGATTTACGTAAATGCCAAGGATACTAAAGCAGCCTGGGTATTCAATGTCAGTGATGCTGTTGATTTTCTTGAGCTGTGTGCCTCCTGTTAATGGTGCAGGATGACTGGAACGGCGTCCGAATGACCAATTACTTTTTCGAGATGGCAATTACTAACACTCGACGTTTACCGATTGTTGGCAAGGAGAGCAACCTGACCTGCCCATTGGATTTTACTTTCTTTCACCGGCGCAACTCTGCATCGCTAAACTCGTATTTTGAAAAAAAAGTGGGATTTGAAGCTACGGAGGGAAGATAAGGTTTCATGGAATTTAAACAGAAGCCCAGTTTCCCAAAAGTACACGATGAATTAAATAGTGAAATTTGTGATTTCTTTTTTTTTCACTCTTTCCTTTTTATTATGCGTTTTTTTTTTGTATCTATGCAATGCGAAACGCATACTGCCGAGGGGTTGTCTGTGTATGTCTATAACGAGTTTTCATCTCGAGATCCACAAAAGCTGCAAGACTGGAAGTTTAGTAACTTAGACTACACATACGTGCAGATCCTTATCCTCAAAATGGGCGCCCACCTCGGCGTGGCTTTTGGCGGGTAGAGTTTTCGGGAACGGCGTAAGCTATAATGCTAAAACTTCACAGAGATGTTCCTTGCTGTGTCCAGTCCAAAGATTTCAAATTTAGCCATCTCGCACCCTTAGGTCTCAGGTAAGCATACGCCAGATACTAAACTGGCATCATGCCAGCTCCAGATTTAAGCTGACAAACAAGTTATAGCTACAAAAGCCTGCGGGGAGACTGTGCAAAAGCGTATCTTTGCACCGACAGCCGGTGCGCTTTCGACTGAATTTAAAGTACCACAGCGGTCCCACTGACAAGGCCCAATTGTGATGCTAAGAAAGAACTCAATGGATTAAAATATTCCTACTCAGACATTTTTATTTATCCATTTTTTTAAACAATTTCCCAATCTTCTTTCATTTTAGTTGCCACTCATTTAATAATCCATAAATAGTGATTATTAATGCCCCGCATAATGGTTATTTTAATTACTTTGTCTAAAAAATTAGGTGAAATTGATCCAATTTAAAGCTTAATTTAAGGTAAAACGATATCAACGGCTCTTGTGTGTTGAATATTAGATAGCAATGATTTGAAGAACTCGACTAACCGGGGCTCAGTGGATAGCTAAATGCTGTGAGTAATGTTTCAGCCCTCTTGCTTTCCTACTGAGCTAAAATAGTTGGGCAGAAGTATACACAAATGATGTGTTGGTGAGCGTGTAATTTGTGGTAAAATCATCAAAAACAGCATTTTTCGAGTTGATGTTGATCGAAAAACTTGCCTATGCAATCACTGATTTGTTCTAGCCTGTAATAAATACCACTGTTGTGCCTCACGTGAAATAATTAGTGCTTAATTGATGGTAATTTGCTCAAAGTGAGGAGGAAAAAGTGGTCGAAGGGGCGCTTTTTTCTGTGAAAATTTGAAATTCCCCTTCAAGAACTTTAAAGATTTTCATGCTTTCATCCTTATTAGCTGGCAGGCATGTGTAGAGTTGTTTGCTGTCGTGCAGATGAT